CCAGGGCTCATTTCTGAGATAGGCAGCGCCTTCAATTTCTCTTGATCTTGGCTGCTGCTTGTGCCATCATTCCTTACCCAATAGTGTCTCACAAACGTGAATAACTCAACGGCACACTTTTGGGCTCTAAGGGACAGTCTTTTCTTCAACTCCAGGGTAATCCTTTCTGTTCTCTCCTGGCACCACCCCCGTAGGTGTTCTTCCTCTAGCCCTGTCAACTTTAGTTATTGCCACTCTTGGAAGAATCACTGCCGCTTCCCTTTTTGCTTTCCAGCCAGTGAAAACACATTTTCAGTCCATCAGCTTCTGCAAACTCCATTCCTTTGGCCATTTTTTTCTTGTTAATAGAGGCTATTTTGGAAATTTAAGGGCTGGTTTCTGTGATACATGGGATCCAAGAAATAAGTTGGTTTTTTTTAAAAGCATAACTGTTAGCCAAGGAGCTCTGTTGGTGTAGGGGATCTGCACTGGGCTGCTAACCACAAGGTTTGCAGTTTAAAACCAGCAGCAGCAGCTCTTGGGAGAAAAATGAAGCTCTTTTTGCTTCCATAAACAGTTAGTCTTGGAAATCCACAGGGGCAGTCCTTCCCTGTCCCATAGGGTTGGTGGGAGTCTGCCTTGACTCCAGGACAGGGAGTGAGTATGTGGGGCCCTGGTGGTGTGGTTGGTTATGCATTGGGCTGCTAACGGCAAGGTTAGCTGTTCAAAACCACCAGCCTCTCCAGGGGAGAAAGGGTGGCTTTCTGTTTCCTTGAAGAGCTAGTCTTGGAAACCGACAGGGGCAGTCAGTCTTGTCCTGTAGGGTAGCATGAGTCGGCATCAACTCAATGTGCTAGCCACGGTGCTCCTTCTTTTATCAAAGTGGGGAGAAATTCTTCCAACATGTCACATCGTTAAAAACGGCAAAACATGGTAGCCGTGTATGTTAAAAACGGCAAAACATGGAAGGACGGAGACAAGACATCTGAGTTTCAAATCCGGATGCTTCTCGTTATAAGCCACGCAGACCTTGGGCAGCTTACTCAACAGTGCTGTGCCTGTGTTCCTCTGTGTCACTTGGAGATTATAGGTCTTACCTCAGAGGGTGGGTTCACATCTCTGGCCCAGTACTATGTTAAACATGGTGCATTTAGAAGGCAGCGTGGCACACAGCAAGCACTCAAATATTGTTAGTTGTCCTCCAAATTAAAACCCCTTCCAATGAGTCAGTGTGGACTCATAATGACCCCGAAGAGCAGAGTAGAATTGTTTTCTTAGCGTTTCTAAGATTGTCAATCCTTACAGGAACAGACAGCCTCACCTGTCTCCCTGGTGGCTAGTGGTTCTGAATCACCTATTTTGCCGTGAGCAGCATGCTGCTTAGCCAAACACGCCACCAGGGCTCCTTATTAGCTATTAGAATCATAGTCTATGCTGTGTCTTAATCATGCACATAGCTGGATTTACAATTTAATATTAACCTAAGACAAAGTCAGCGTTCCCAGCACATCATGGGAACATGATTCAATAATGGCTAAAAACAGTTTATGTATTCTGCTGACAAGTGTTACAAAAACAAAATGTGTACCTAGCTACTCACTGCTAAAGGGATTTAGAGCAGTAAAAGTTTAAGTTTCAGTAACATTTGAGTCTTTTTTAATGTCAAGTAAAAAGGAGGGAGAAAAGTTGCATTAGAACAGGTTGGAGAGGATGTGACTGCAGTTGAAACAGTACTTCATTTCCTCAGAGGGCAGCCAAAGCAGAGGAAAACATGAGGTGCCTCAGCTCTGTTTCAGTCAAAGGAAGTCCACCATCTATTAGGAGAAATATATTTTTGTTTGTTTCTAAGCTAGCATGGGTGCGTGGAGAACAGCAGTTCTGATGTTTAAAAAGCAGACATCTGCACTTTTGGCAAATATCTTGTCTAATACCATAGTCAATCCTAAGCACAAGACTTGAGTTTGGATTCTACAGCCAACCTCCTTCCCCACAATCTGTTCCTTCAAGAATCTTCCTCACATTGTTAGGTTTATTGTGGCAACTAGGCTCCTGTAGGAACATGTGGGCGCACTTCAATCAGGTTGCAGCTTGAACTGAGGGCAGCCGAGGTAAATGTCTCTCCGAGGCTGGCTTCTTCCTTTCCCCCTGGTGATCAGACCAGCAAGCTGCCGCCTGAGCTAGTCCTTTGCCTCAACCGTGTGGTGTGCTACCGGTGGGCCGAACCAATCTGTGGACCCCTGTTGCCTTCCCGTGCATATGAGTTGTGGATCCACAGAGGCCTGTGAGGGCCCGTTTGTACCTTCCTATTGACGAGCTGCAATGAGCCATGCTGAGACCTGCAAGAGCCCTGGAGATGCTTCCACTCACTGTATCCACAACTTTTGCACCCACTGACCTGTCATCTTCCTGCATTTTGCATCATTGAATGTGCTTCGTGAGTCTGAAGAGGGATTTTTGGGCTAGTATCAGACTTATGGGCTAATATTAGATTTATGGACTTGATATGGACTGGGCTGGGACGTTTTCTTAATCTACAATTACTCTTTGATAAAAAGCTCTTTCTTCTTATATGATTGTTACTGAATTTGTCTTTCTAGTTAACCCAGTCTAACACATTGGTAATCTCACCTTTCCAGTTGCCGAGACCAAGTGACCCGAGTTCTCCTTCACTTTTCCTTCTTCATACCCCACATCTCATCTGCCAGCACATGCTGTCAGCTCGGATGTCGAAACGGTATCCATCACTACTCCCTTGATCCATGTCACTGCCATTCTCCAGGGCTACTGCCATACATTGCCTTCTTACCAAGGCTTCCCCGTTTCTACTTCAGGCTGTTTGGGTCTGTTAAAACCCCCCAAGGAGTTCCTCCTCCATCCCACCCAGGGTAAAGGCCCACATTCTCACTAGGATCTATTTCCATCTACAGTCCCTTTCTTCTTCAACCTTACCTACTTGTCCACAGTTCTTACCAGTAGGCCACCTTGGTCCATCTGCTCCTCTCTGCATACTCTGTATGCATCTACTTCAGGGCCTTTGCAGTGGCTGTTCCCAGTCTGGAATGCTCTTCTCCTAAGTAGTCACTCCCTTCAGAGTTGTATTGAAACACCGCCATGATGAACGTTCTTGGCTGTCCAACTGCAACCCCCTCCCTGCACATCAGATTATGTGTACTCGATGTGAACTCTTACAGGCTGTTCCCTAACAGGTTGTACCCTTATTTTCCTTATTCATGTCTAGCTTCCACTCTAGAAAAGAAGCCCCTGGAAGGCAAGAGACTCTCCCCACCCACCCCGCTATAAAATCACCTGTTTAGAGCAGGGCCTGGGGCACAGTGGGCAAATACTTGTAAGAATGAGTAGGTAAGATTTGAAAGCATGACATTAGAGGAAATTCCTCTAAGAGTAATTCTAAAAGTAGGGATGGGGAATAGAATGGACAGGTAGTCCCTCAAGTAAGAATGAGTTCTGCTACTGTCTAATTTGTCATATAAATTGGAACATATATAGGTATTGTAAGCTCAAGTATAGTGTACCTTCATTTGTATTAAAAAAACAACAACAAAGCTTTAAAATAGGAGTACTAATTTTGATGTGCATATCGAAGTCGCACCTGTTTGTCATCATGAACCATTTGTGTACCTTGAGTTTTTAGTACAAGCTGTACATGGCTTGGTATGTCACCATGGGTCATGCAGAGTTATATACCATGGGGGCTGCATGTAGTTTGTATGCAGTTTCAGCGCTGATTACAAAGAAATGAACTAGAGCTCTTTCCAGGAGTGGTCTCTAAAGTGGGGCAGCACAAGATGATCTGTTGGGATAAGGGCCGGCATTAGAATTCTATTTTTCTTACAAAATTAAAGACTGTTCGGTGAATTCCCATGGGTACCCCAGTCAGGTAGGAATGCAGCAGGTATCTTGAAGAGTCAATGGAATAGCCATGCTCTAATGATATGAATTTATTTACATTGCTAACATTTATCCCTAACCTGCTTCCTATGGCATTGGGTGGGTGGCCCCTAAACAAGGAAGGGCTGGCTGCTAGTCAGCTTTGTAGCTTGAGTCCACCCAGAGGCTGCTCGGAAAAGGCCAGGGGACTACTTCCAATGAGAACATTATGGGGCAGTTCTACAGGACACATGTCAGAATTGGCTCGATAGCAACTAGTTCTATACTGCTTCATATGCAGAGTTTAGGAAACCCATGGGGCAAGTTCTATTCTGTGCTATAGATAGGGTCACTGAGTTAGAATCGACTCAGTTATACATAGCAACAATAGATAAGATCATTTTAATTAAAGCAAATTATAGCTTTAAGATCACCTGATCATGGAATCCTAGCTCTAGCTACCTGCTTGGTCTTCCTTCATGACAGCCAAATTTTAGATGGAGGGAAATGGAGTTTTGGGTTCATGTTAAGCAGGATTTAAACATTAACATCTTTCTGATAAAGAGGGTTATCATAAAGATGTGTTTTTTCATCAGTGCACTGAGGAGACCTAAATAGAACTTTTTCTCCTCCTGGGGTAGAGTACTGACATCCCTTAATAGAACCAAAAAAGCAAAAGTATCCTCTCCATTAGCCACTGGCAAAAGGACAAAACTAAGATGCAGAGGGCTTGAATAGAAAAACACCCAATGAATTAAAATGTCTAAATTCCTAAATTTTCCAAACTTGAATTTGATTGGAAATGACCCCAGTGTTCCCCAGCTGATAGGAAGAAATGCAAGCACTGTGGAGGAGCATGGATCTTTTATGGTCTAGATATACCGCAGGCAATGCTTTAGCAGGACTCCCCTTAGAAAATGCCTCAACTCCTTGGCCCTGAACTAAAGGTCTCTGTGGCTAAGTAGAGGTGTTTTCCTGGGAGAATCAGCGCTAAGTGTTCCACTCAATGCAAACCCTCCGGTGACTTCAAATGACTACTTCTGGGAGCGGGGGTAAGATTTTGTACCCAAGTTTTCACTTCTGGTTTCCCTACTCTCACTTATGCAAAAAATGAACTCACAAAGACAAGCATCTATTTTGAAAAGTATTTTACTTAGTTTGAATAAATTAATTGCAAATAAAAATTAGCTACAATATATAGCCTGAATAGAAATGATTAGAACAAATACAACACAGGACTGGATTTCCTTGCATTAGTCACGGGTATGTGACAGCCTAGGAAATCTCAAAATCAAGGATCTTTCTTTGAAAAAGGGGGGCAACAGCAGTTACTGATACATAACAACTAGTAAACTTACAATACAAGTTTCCTGACATGCGTTTCCTGAGTGAACCCAAATGATCATTTTTAAGAACAAAGAAAATGTTGAGAGCGCAAGTAAAATAAAATAGCTCATGGCTTCTAAGCAACAAAGGCTTTCTTCTTTTTTATAAAACCAAAAGAAAATTCAGAACATCATTAAGACAGGTTAAATTAAAGCTATGCTATCACATACAGAAATGTGCTACCATCAGTAAAGTATTCTACAACTTTTCGAACTAAAGGAAAACAAAGGATTAAAAAAATGAGTTTGTCTAATCTAAAAGTCTACCAATTTCTGTAAGTGTCACAATAGGGTTTGATGTAGTGCAACTGTCTATAGTTTTCTTGTGGTACATTTAAAAAAGGTGGGGAGGAGAGAAGAGGGGAAAGGGGGTGGTGGCAAGAGACTGCTTTTTGCTTTTGCAAGCAAAGAATTCATTGAAATTAGAGAATAAACAGACAATGCAAGTACGTCCCTCCTCTCTGCTGTTCCCGGTGCTCACCTGCCAGCCCAGTGTTTGAGTCCCACTAGGGTGACTCTCCTTAGGCTTCACACCCACTGTTGAAGCTGGTCTGCTAGATTTAAAAACCAACCCAAAAAGTTGGGAAGGGGGCGGGGCGAAGGCAGGCACTGTTGTCACTCAACCCTTTATCTCTAGATTTCCTAAGGCCTGGATAAGGCCAGATATAGAAAAATTAATTAAGCATTTCTTTTTCTGAAAGCAAATCAAGTCACACTCCTTTCAAGTGTTAATTTATGTTTTCTCAAGGGAATGGGTTTTTCTTCTTTTCTAGAAACAGTGAACAGATGAACCACAGTTTATATCTAAAAAATAAACTTGCCAAATGTTGCTGATACTAAAAAGAGGTTAGTAATCATGGGAGAAAAATAGATAATCTAGATTAAATTGCATATTCAAAGGAGCATATAAAATGTTTCTTAGCATTAAGTTTTTGTTATAGTACTACACTCAAGAGAAACATTAAGGAGAAAAAAATATCTTTCCTGATTATCTTCCATGTGGTTAAAATCAAACGCATCTTACACAATGGTAATTAATAGGAATTTGGTATAAAAATGTATTCTTGTCTACCAAATCCCATGTTTAGATGAGGTGGTGGGGAGAGGCTCGCGTGTCCTTCCATCCTAACCCGGCAAACCCTGGCACTGTGCTCGCTAAACTACCGGTCACATCCAGGATGTGCCCCCGTCACTATCATGCTACTCTACCGACGTGACGCTCTAAGGTATTTTCTATAATAAAGATAAATAAGGGGGGGCGGGAGCTATTATACATGTTGTATTTTACAATGCTTGTGACACACTGTAAACTAACAGAGTTTGAACCAACAGTACCTCGGCTATACAAAACAAGTTCTCAACACTGAGGATGGGATGGGGTGATTCAAAAACACTAACATGAAGGCATCAAATTAGACTGTCTTTTTTTTTTCTCCTTAAAATATTTTCGGAACTCAGGATTCAGAAGTTTGGTACTTTCAGAAACCCTTTACTTGAGTTTCCCAGATTTTTGCTCAGAAATGGCTACTATTTATTACAAATGTTTAGAAAAATTCTTCATCTTAATGCAAATGATCAGAGCAGAGAAACGGTGACGTGGACAGAGGGTTGGAAATCCCCAATCTCTTAGCTTATAAATTTGTAATGCAGTCCTGGAGGGCAACTGTTAGTCTAGAGGTCCTTGGAAAATCAGTCTGATGTAGCCTTGTTCACCAGCCAGCTGATGTGCACAGAAGGGGCAGGCTGCGTGGAAAGTGTGAGTACCATGAGGCAGTGGGATCTGGGACCAGTAGGCGGTTGTTTTTTCTGAACACACATGCCCACACGGGCTGAACGCGTGGGTTGGAGGGCCGGCGTCCACATAAAATCCCGCTTCACATCCAAGCCACAGAGGGACGTAAGGACCCACGGACCTACACATAGGGCATTCCCGATCTTTTCCGTCCCGCTCTTCCTTGTTTCCCCAGTTGTGGTAGCCGTGGACATGACCACAGTTTAGATAGACCCATGGTTGCTTTTCGTCTACCACATCTTTCCTCTTCATACTAGGAAATGCTAGTGTGTTGAAGCCAACAGGGCACTGGGGTCGGGCTGCATTGATTTCTTGTCTTAAAGCTTCTAAGTGCTTCACGGTGGGGGTGTGGGACAGGCCTTCGGCAGTGCGCCACAGTAACGTGGCCCCACAGAGGTCGATCAATGAGCCATCTTGTAACTGATTGGTTTCAATTTCCACCTAAAGGAGGAAAGGGGGAAAAGAAACACTAGCGTTTAGATGTTTTGCACAATGGCTATGGTCTTAAATGCTGCTTCTACAAGAGATTGGGTCTCCTATGACTGTAATTACCGTATAGATGTGAGTATAAGCCGAATTTCCCAGCACATTTTTAATGCAGTTTTTGTGGTAAAATTAGGTGCCTTGGCTGATATTCGGGTTGGCTTATACTCGAGTACATACGGTAAATATTTGAGAAACTGATGGCAACCATGAAAAAGTTAAGTCTAAGACAGAATATGATGTGTGGTCACTTACTTCTTTTCAGCCTCGTAGTAAAGATAGGTTTATGAACATATCTGGCTAGAAGTAATCTTAATAGTTTCAACTAGGTTAAGTATCGTGGCTAATGATATATAAACACAGATAGTGCTAATTAATTTAGGAAAGCTTAGGTTTTAAACAGAAATGTGACAGAGAAATTTTTAAGTAGCTCAATTGAAAAACAAACAAACTATATTCTCTAGAACAGTGCTTGACGGTGAGACTCGGTACTGTCTCAGCCATCTACTAGAGTTCTTGGGGATGAGTGTTGACTGCAGCTAACTTAAGCGATGTCTGTAAATTTAAAAACACAACAAAATGAAAGCAGCTACATCCTAGTCCTTACCATTTTCCCCCGCTGCTGAGCAGACCTGGTTTCCCGCAGGCTGAACACATTGCCGCACACTGATATTTCTCTCCAGATTCCGGGCTTGGAGTCTTCCGTGAACCCATTGCGGGGATGCATCACAAGGACTCCATTGGTGGTCAAGCCATCCATCTGCCCATCTGAAGTCTTCCATTTGGCTGCCTTCTCCTAGGAGGAGCAAGAGTAAGTGGTAAGCTCTCATTTACTTGTAAGTAGGAGCTGGTACCAAATAATGCAGTAGGTAGGATGTAAAGCTTCTTACCCCGAGGAAGATATTTTTTGAGGAGTCAAACCCTGCGGCATAAATCCGTGCAGTAAAGGGGGGATTCCGTTCACATATGATCCGACAAGCAAACCTTGATATCGTGCTCTGCACTGACTGCGTGTCGGAGTTACTTTGACTTCCCGGCACTGTGTCAGTTACTACAAAATCGATGGGACTTTCAGTCGACCGACCGATCTAAGGGGGAAAAAAAAGAAATAGCTATAAAACCTAGTCAGCGGTCACCATGGAAAATATGTTCACGAAAGGTGTGTAGAAGTGGGAACAGGGTGCCTCTGAAAATTCTAGAGCTCAAGTTTGTCAAACTCAACTCTGAGGGCTTCCCCCTGTCAGCCTCTGATGGAGCAATGAACTTAAGAGCACAGAAGTCAGGGAAGGAACAGCTTGTAGCCCAAAGGCCTAGATGGGGACATAGATTAATTTTAGCCCTTGTAGATAGAAATACTTTTACTCGATCCTCTAACAAAGCATTCTCATCACCACCAGTGAGTCGATTCTGACCCGCAGTAGGGTAGGATTGCCCTGCTGAGTTTCCAGGACTGTATCTCCTTATTGGGAGTAGAAAGCTGCATCTTCCTCCTTTCACCCTCGTCTGCTGGCTTTGAACTGTTGAACTTGAGGTTAGCAACCCCATATGTATGCTACTATACCACCAGGGCTCCTACAGAAGATACCGGACACACTCATGTTAAGTATACTGTGCTTGGAGACTCCAGATCAGTCCATTGTGAATAGCATTTATGGTACTCCATAAACACAGCCATTCTCAGGTGTTATAGAGGTATACTAAACTACGGGTCCTACAGTAGCCTGGCTGAGTCTTCCATACACGTCTCTGATTTCCCTCTCTGTCCTGCCAGGCTGCTGCTATTGCTTCTTGCTGCTAGTGTCTCCAGCAGCACAGCCCCTTCTACCTAGCGCCTCTTATTCTGCCAGGGCTATGGGACAATGACGGCACAGTAACTGACTGAACCCCAAACCAAGCTCAGTGCCATCAAACAGACTCTGACTCACAGCAACCCAACAGGGGAGGTAAAACTCCCTGTAGGTTTGAGAGCCTGGAACTCCTGACGAGAAGCAGTTTAGAGTTTCGCATCGCTGACCCTGTGGTTAGCAGCCTAACTGAACCACTCCACCACCATGGGTCCTGAACAAGAGAGAGCTGAGCACAGAGTCCCAGGGTGTGGGTACTTGGATTTGGTGTTTTTATTTCCTTCCCGATTCTTGACCATATCTCAGAGCAACAAGGTTCCCAGATAAGATGTCCTTCATCAAATTAAAATACATTTTCAGAGGTAGTAGCTAGTAAGTAGACCTCTGGAGGCAGAGGGGTTACACAATGGGCTGGTAACCACAATAAGGTCAGCAGTTTGAAACCACTAACAGATCTGAGGGAAGAAAGACAGGCTTTGTACTCAAATGAAGAGTTCCAGTCTCAGACACTCACAGGGCAGATCCACCCTGTCTTAGAGAACCACCCTGAGTCAAAATCGACTGGATAGCAGTGGTACTTAGTAAGTAAAAGCATTACATTTGAAAAGCTGCTAGCAGAAAAGAAAAAGAAATCAGGGAACGGATGACAAGGATCAAAGTTTTAAAGTACCCATTTCAAAGTATTCATCTCATTAAATGTAGTAGCATAAAAACAATGACCCTCCTTGAAAGGGGCGCCCGCCACCAGCCACTGTTCGCATAGTTGGGCTTTAAGAGGTCCTTCTGCCAGCACGCGTTGAGATAAAATTCTTCAGAGGCTTTCTCCCCCCTCAAGCACAATGTCATTATTTACTTTAGATAGTTTCAGGTGCTGGTTAGCAAAAGTAACTAGACTGGAGGTTCCTTTATTTTTAGGATAATTATATCCAAAGAAAATGATCTCCGAACTTTGAATCATTAAAAAAAAAGGTTCATAAAAGGCGTGTTTAGAGCCAAGGGTTAGACTGAGGATCAACATTCGGAACCAAGGAGCGGAATTCAAAAAGGGCAAGGATTTGGGAGGGAGATTGGTGACATTTGATCTGGTTCTCAGAGGACACGATTTAATAAGAGGTGAGACCAAAGAAATTTTAAATTACTTAGAAGCAGAAAAATACTTGAAGATAGTGCTCAGGTGCCAAGAAACGAATGCATTAAGTAAGACAGATTCTAGGGACTCTTCCTTCTAATAGTTATGATTATCTCATCACAGGACACGTGGAGCCCCAATGGTATAGTAATTACATGTCTTGGTCTGCTAACTGCAAGGTCACTAGTTCAGAACCACCAGCCGCTCCTTAGGAGAAAGATGGGCTTTCAGCTCCTGTAAGGGTTACAGTCTCGGAAACTCACAGGGGCAGGTCTAACCTGCCCTGTGGGGTCACCAGAATGATCTCAGTTGCAGTGAGTTTGGTTTAGGATCACCAGACATAAACACAGGTCTTATTTTGTCATCCTTCCTCACCTCCATGAACACCTTTGGTGCTTCCCCACAGCATATACATACTTCGCCTACTCTTATCAATCTAGTCCAATTGTCTTCTATTTCTAACTACATAAAAAGTACATTCCAGCTAAAAGTAGCTTATTCATCAATCTTCCTCTTTGCCATTTCATGGCTTAAAAATTTTTTTTAAAAATAATTTTATTGGAGGCTCTTACAGCTCGTATCACAATCTATACATAAATCCATTCTGTCAAACACATTTGTACATATGTCATCTTTTTCAAAACATTTTCTTTCTACTTGTGCCCCTGGTATCAGCTCATTTCCCCCCTCCCTCCCCTATGTCCCCTTGATGATTTATAAATTCTTCTTTTGGGGGCCAGAATGCTGTTTCACTCATTGGTGCCACCGTCCAAGGTGACCTTGGAAAATAATTCGCAGTGACCCTTCTCATTCCCAAATCTTCTGTTAAAATTCACTGAACCTAGTTCTAAGATAACTTCCTCATCAATCCAATGTTCTATCCTGGGTCTTCGAGCACAAGCACAAATTTTGTCAACATTTTCATCCGTTTGGGAAGTTGATAGAGTCCAGAATAAGGTCTGTCATCAAGCTACATTTCACCTTTTTTGAAACGAGAAAACCACTCATACACTTTAGTTTTTTCCATAACACTATCCTTGTAAGCTGTGTTCAACATCACAACAGTTTTTATGGCATTTTCCCAAGAGGGAAACAAAATTTCACAGCTGCATCCTGTTCTCTTAAATCAGCCATCACAAAAAACGAACTTTTAGTGAAACTGCTTTTAGTAAAAAATTCACTATGACCAGAAAGAATCTTTTGGGGCGACACCACTGGGTGCACTAACTCAGAGTGAGTTGCTCCATGCTCGCCTAGTGGGGAAAATGTGTACAAAAGCTTCCTCCAGTGGCCAGGGGGGCTTTATGCTGTTGTTTTTTGTGGGGGTACCCCCTTGTATGATATGAATATAGGAATCCCTGCCTTACAATGGCGATTTTGAGTTGTGACAAATCACAATTATGATGATCCATTCTGGAGGAACAAACAATGATGCAGTAGGTAGAGCACTGATGCTCTCTTTTGCAAGCCAACAGGCGTCCTCAAACTACTGCCCACGGCCACCGAGGACATTTATCCTGCTCGCCAGGTGTTTTTGCCCCGTTTGTTTTTTTACTTCAAAATAAGATATGTGCAATGTGCATAGGAATTTGTTAATAGTTTTTTTGTTTTTTTTTTAAACTATAGTCCGGCCCTCCAATGGGTCTGAGGGACAGTGAATTGGCCCCCTGTTTAAAAAGTTTGAGGACCCCTGCCGTAAAACAAGTAATGGTCACATTTATGAAGACACTGATAATAACATGCAATACTAATGACAACTAAAATAAAAAAAAAAAACAACCCACAAAACAAAAACGAAAGAGGTACTTGAGAAGATTTCTATCAGAAATGACTGACAGTGGTAACAGTTGGTAACTACCTGTACAGAACCTTTGTGGAGTGGTGGTTCCGAGTTGGGCTGTGACAAGATTAGCAGTTTGAAACCACTAGCCGCTCTGCAGGAAAAAGATGAGGCTTTCTAATCCTGTGAAAAGTTACAGTCTTAGAAATCCACAGGGGTAGTTCTACCCTGTCCTATAGGGTTGCCATGGGTTACAGCAAGGACTTTATGGCAGTGAGTTTGGTTTTCTGGTTTAACCTGTATTTAGGAATTGCTTGTAATGTCTGGTGTATAAAGAGGAAGGTGGGAGTAGTGGCACAAAAGTGAAGCTGTCAAAATGCACAGAGCATTTCTTAGTTCCTATTTTTGGATAACAATGCTAATATCACAGCACGCGTACTAAGTCGCAGGCACAACTAGCACCTTACATGTCCCAACTCATCCAATCTCATGAGCGTTACCCAAGGAGGCCCCACAGCTTGCACTCTACAGCGGAGGAAGCTGAGGGACAGAAGGGGTAACTAATGTTGCCCTCAGCGTTTGCAGAGCCCACCTCTTAATCACGCTGCGCTGGACTTTTACAGGTGGGGTTACGAATGATAATAGAACAGTCCCTAATCCAACACAGCTGCAGGGTCAACGACAACAGATTTTTAAAGAAAAACAAAACAAAAATTTGATTTTAATACCTGAAACATATCCGTGTTGCTGTCATGAGTGTATTCAACCACCACCGTCTGGGCCCGAGATAAGGTGTATGATATGCTATGCTGGTCCTTGTTGCTTATTGCCTGAGAGAGAACAGGTGAAGCACAAAAGTGAGCACACAGGTCATTCAAATCAGAGAATCTCCTTTCTCCTCCAGAGAATCTTTTCATTTAAAAAGGCTCATGTGTTTGTGTTTATCATAAATATGACCAAATTAGGTATTTTCCCTCTGAAATTTAAGTACAGATTAATAACTCTTGCATGACTTCAGCTGTGACACAGTAGGTAAGACTGAGTGGCATATAGAAGAATCCCTTGAAGCAGTGATGGTAGGGAACATAATTTAACTTTATAGAAAAGACAATAAAACCTGGGCCTGCCTTATAGTTACATTATAATTTAAAATATTTACAAGAGAATTCCATGTAGAAAATGAAAAACAATAACCAGTACTCCGATAGGGAGGAATGTGAAGTCTTGCAAGGTAGGAGAAACCTCATTTTAAAAGTCACACTGAGAGTTATAGAGGTAACTAATAAGCAGAGTTAACAGTTTTCTCAACTATCTTGTGATTCTGTAGACGACAAGTGTTTGCTGTGTACTGGGCTTGATAATAAAATGTCCATAGAATTACTAAACATTAAGAAGGGAAATGAGAATAAAACTAGTAACTGTACTTCTGATGTATTCCAGACGACAAACATGGCTAAAAGGGATTTTTCGGTTTGTTTCAGATATCTTCTATGTATATCAATGAGAAGAGAGACTATCAGAGGAGAAACTAAGCCATTGCACAAGAGATGTGAAAACTGGTTGCGTAAAAGGAAAACAGATACTAATGCACAGGAAGTGATTACATACAGGCAAGAGGTGCAATGAAAAATGAATTTTAATTAGAACTTAGGTATTAGAAAAAATATTACTTGGTTTCAATTTGCAACTCATCTGATAAAATCTATAGCAATAGTTTTAAATTAAGAAGGCTTTGACATTTTCAAATATGAAAAGAAAATCAATGGACACCTAGGTACCAAACCCAGTTAGTTCTCTCAAGACTTTAAAAATATCATCTGCATTTCTGAATTTCCTTCCTTTTTCTAAAGAAATGACCCTTTACAGTAGACCTGAGGGGAGTTTCCACGGAGCCATCCTCCCTGGGAAGCAGCAGTGATCATACTGTGCTTGTACCACATTCTAAGCACGCTTGAACATTGTAGAATGGTTTTGCAGGTGCTAAAACCTACAATTCACTTTATTACCTCCGTGTTTAATCAACTTTTCAGATATCTGCTCAGTATTTTTGGATGTTTATTCTGAATGACATAACAGAGTTTTGAAAACCAAGTTTGGGTACTTTGAAGTTGTAATTCTGGTTTCCTCTATTAGACCTTACTCTTAGATTGAAAAAGGGAACTGTGCCAACATAAGTTTGGGTCTCCCTGGCTTTGAAAGTAGACTTCTCTAACTGTTGATCCCAGATGACTGCCAGACTAAACAATTCGGTTTCTTCCTGACCTCACTAATAACTTTCCTCTAAAATTGACGGAGAAAAAGAGTCAAGTCTCTGATTGGTAGGATTTTTGATGCCTGGTCAAAATGAGAAGGCGCTAACAATGAAAATAAGAGGAATTTGTCACAATAAGTATGGAAGAAAAGGCACGGATTGCAGCGGTTCTTAACCTGTGGGTCACAACAGGGGTCGTCCGATTCATAATAGCAGCATAATTACAGCTGTGAAGTAGCAACGAAAATAATTTTATGGTTGGGGTCACCACAACATGAGGAACTGTATGAAAGGGTCACGGCACGAGGAGGGTTAGGAACCACTGGATTAGGGTATGCTGAGGCAAGGGTTAGAAACACCTGCCCTAGAATGAGTTCTCACCCAGAGGCAGTGCTAGCTGTCCAGCAGGCATTTGGAAATGGAGGTGTATTTGGAGGGGGAGGGGAGGCTGTCACAATGATGTGAGGGCTCAAATGGGATTCTGTGGACAAGATGCAAAATTCTAAGATTATATTAAGTGTCCTGTAATATGTGGGACAGTTCTGCAAAATGAAGATCTGCCGTAGTTGATATGCCAAAAGTTCTCCTGTGGGAAAGAGCTGTAAGAAGCTGCTCTCATCAGATCAACAGGTGTTCGTTCCACCACCTGCTCAGCACATTTCTTTTCTGCCACCAAGCAGCAGGAGTCCCTACAAGAACTGGCCCCTTTGTGCACACTCTGGCTCCCAACTAATCAAAGAGGATGCTTGGTGCAGACTTGAGGGCTCTGTTTTAGCCAGCCAACTGGATATAAAACAGCCTAAATTCCAACTCTCTCCCAGGACTAAAGCATCATATACCAATTTCACTGTCTTGGATTTACTGCATTTACAAAGGTATACTTCAGATGGTATAAAACTGGACACCACAGGAGAGTTTAATTAAAGAGATTCCAGAAGTCAAAGGGCACAGTAATTTGTCTTACTTGTGCATTACAGTATCAATTCTGTCTGTGATATAAAGCTGGAAATAAGAGGAAATCACAGGCAACACAGAGACCGGACACTCCTCTTACCTGCCTACCACTCTCGGAAAAGCCCAGGATTCTGACGTGGGGCCACCTTTTCTCACTTGGGTAGGGACAGGAAGGTGCTAGAAGCACTCAACAGACCATGGGGTTGGGAAGTTTTATTGTAGATGCGGTTGAGCATTTGGTTTTATAGCTGTGATTCAACTGAATAATTATTTACTTTTGTACAAGGTACGCACCACTGCTAAAAGCCATGAGGCCCAAAAAACAAATAAAAATAAATAACAAGAGCCTCCAGAGACTATACCTTTAGTTAAAAAAATGACCTCATCCAAAGAGAGACCTGACTGAATACATGTATTATACCTGGATCCGACATCATTTGCCTTCAAGTAACACAGCAACTCCCGATCTGCCAGGGCAGGCTTTGCCTAATCCTAAGGATTACATCAAATCTCTGCACCCCCACCCTCCTAAAAAATTTTTTTTGGGGGCCAAAGGGGTGTTCCCTTCTAATTTCCATCCACTGGTTTAGGTTTGCTATAGAAAAACGCTGGATTCCTCTTCTAGATGGCAGCCCTTCAAAGAACAGCATCTCAAAAACCTTTTCTCGAGGGGGTGAGGGGTACAGCCAGGACTCCCTCTCAGAAAGCCCTGCCCATCCTGGCCTGCAAGGGCCTTTGTTCAACTTGTTCTTCCTTCCTGTCTTCTCTGATTCTCAGTCCTTAAAATTCTCCTGGAGAATGGATTCTCACACTGGTGCATCATGACCTGGTGGGTGGGTGAAACTTCGCCTGGACAAAAGAGGGGTGAGGCAGAGGCAGATAAGCACCCCACGTTAGATCAGACACTTTCTCTCCTTCAGAAAGGAGTAGAGGGGCACTTTCTCTCCTTCAGAAAGGAGTAGAGGGGCACCTCCTCTCCTTCAGAAGGGGCTGGGGGCTTTCCATGACAAGTAGGGTTGGGAGGCACACAGGCTTTAGAATATCGGTGCTCTTGCTTCTGTGCCATTAGAGGCCGCTGCCCAGTCAGGCTAGCCCATCCTCCTTACAGGTGGACTTGTGTTGCTTACACTACATTCCAAATGAAAAAATCTTACCATGAAAAAGAAAAAAAAAAAAAAAAACCTCAAGTCTAAACAAAAGAGAATTCTGAAATAGAAATGTGAACAGATGTCAGAGAATATAATATTAACAACATAGATATAATATTAACAATATAGACAAGTCTTGCATACTTTCCCCAAGGTGATGTACTTGGTTTTTGTTTGACTTCTTACCTTTGCGGCCTGAGGGGTACAGGCAATGTGCACAGTGCTGGGCTTCACCCCGTTTGCCTTGGGTCTTTTAAACAAAGCAAACCTACTTTTCCTCCGTCCTCTATCGCCATTAGGGAGAGACCCATTATACCTAAGAGGTGGGGTAGAGGAAAAGTTTAGGCGAGTTCTTGTTAGAACCACAAAATTATAAAAAACGATGTTTTACTTTGCCTGTCAGAATGAATCTCCGATTAATTATCTATTAGTACACTCTAATTATCTCAAGTTCCTCTTAGCAACTGCTGATCCCCAGACCAGATGCCTGGGTGTGAAACAAAATGAGCTTCTTTCTGGCGATGCTCCAACATCAGAGAAGCACCTTGTAGATTACACATAGCTGGAGTAGCTGTACGTTTTCCTTTCTTCTGTTACTGAAGATAATCAAGAGCTGACTAATGGGGATACCTAACTCTTTATGATGCACCCTATTGTTCAAGGTGAGCGTTTGCATGTGCTAATATAACCTTTGAAAAGTACACTACTATTGTTCAAAATAGAATCTGCTTTAATTGTGAACCCAGCCCTTAAAAAGTTGAACACAAAATAACACTTTGTTAAGTCTCAGCTACCTGGATGCCCACATATACATGCACTTTCTGCTGGCAGAACCTGCCCACTGAGAAGTCTGCTAAGTGGTAACCCGACTTCTGTTGTTCAGAACTTATGCCCATTCTCCATCACAGCCTCTCAGAGAGCTGCAAAAAGATAAGCAAGTGAGCAAGGATTGGACAAACAGGAAAAAAGTTTAAAAACAACAAGTGTTTCCTGTGTTCCAGGCACACCTAGGTTCTAGCCATATATCACTACTTTAGTCTATCTTCCTAAAAACTCTGCAAGTGAAGAGAAGACGAACAGACTCTCCTCCGCAGCCTCTGGAGGGAAGGAGGCCCCGCAGACACCTTGGTTTCAACCCAGTGCCAATGATTTTGGACTTCTGGCCTCCAGAAGTGAGAGAGGAAATGACTGTGGTCTTAAACCAAAACGACACCACCACCACCAACAAAAAACCAAAATCTCCCAAACTACAAGATTGGAATGACTGGTCTCATTTTTAGGAAAAGTGAGGAACTAAGTTCAGGAATTAAGCTTTCTGAATTTTCTGAAAATCACATACGTGATGCCAGCAAAGCCATTATCTGACTCTGGGTCTGTTAGTTTTCCCTTCCCCACCTCTACAGTCTATCTCTCTGGGCCACGAGCAGTGTTTTAGCAATCGCCTCTCCTCATTCCCTGACCTCTTCATTATCCCCCTCCAACAAAATCTTTGTTTGACTGTCTTCCAGAGTTGGCTACTCTGGCGGAAAGGAAGCACGTAAGGGCAGTTTTGAGGTCCAGGGAGAATGGGGTTGTCAAGTGGCCTGGGGCCGTGACTGAAGGAGAAGAATCATGTTCTCAAGCGGAGGGAGTTTTTTTTATCGACTGCCATATAAAAAAATTACACCGATCTTTTGTAAAACACAAAACACTGATTTCCATTGGAGAAAGCCTTGCTCATTGTGCTAGCTCTTGACTGAAAAGCCAGACAGAGCCAAGCCCTTGGCTAGTACATTAATGATGCTATTCCGGCGCAGACCATTGCCAACAGCCCCACTGCGGCTTCCTCACTACCAGCCTCCAAGGTGCATGACTCACCCCTTTCTTCTGGATCTAAGCTCTCTATTCCCACCCTGGTCACGTAGCTCAAAGCTCTTTATTCTAAATCTCTTTTTTGTAGTAAAATAAACATAATTCGCCGTTTTAACCATCTTTCACTCTGCAGCTCCACGGCAGATTGCAGTCATAGTGGCATGCAACTTTCCCACCCTCTTGCGTTCAAGCTCTTTAAGTAGCAACAGAACCCGCAGACAACCTTGTCCAGCTCCACTCCTCCTTTCAGAAGGAAACTAGGGAGGGGTGCCCGTCTCTGCATTTTCAGACACCGGACTGTGAGACACAGAAACAATTCCTATTGCTGTGAATGAACTGAGAAGCTGCTAGGCCAAGAGGGCCATTTAAGTAAGACTAATGGAAAGTTTGGTCTTCACATGAGCTGCCATTCATCTCCTTAGAACTGAGGTGGCTTGAAATTGTAATTTTATATAAAGAATGTTACACATGGCTATTATAATATTGTACTTGTTATGTTTACGATCTTTTAAAGTTTGGTTTTTTTTGAGGGGTGTGTGATGTTTTAAGACTGAAAGGGGCTCAAAAGTTTTGACTCAAAAGTGTCAAACTGTCACTTTTTAGAAAACTGAAGTCCCAAACGGAGAAGGGACTTGCTCTTAAGAGCTGATGGTGCTGGAGGGAGCCCGGTTTAGGGTTCCTGACTCTCTAGTCAAGCTCAGGGCACCACGTGGACGCCATCGTAGTTTCTCATACTCTTTCATCTCAAACGTCAATGCATTTTTTCATGTAGACAAGAACTTGTACCAACCTGACTCTAAACCATGTTGCAACATCTAACAGGGTTTCTTTTGGCAGGAGGAGGGTAACGGCAGGGGGAGAATAAAGTCTGCGATGTCTAGTTTCTTCAGTGTTCACTTTCGTAGTTATGGTGAGTGTTGAGCGAACAAAGTGAAGTAATGCAATCATCTATTCCTCATTCTGTAGACTGTGTCTCTAGGAGCTAGGTGAATGGCCTGATTTGTAAAGCAAACGGGTAGCAAGGTCCTGGGCTTCATTTTGCTGCCATGTACCTATGAGAGACCCCTTTCACCACGGAATACATCAAGCTGAACCTACGAGCAAAGCACAGCTACCTCTGAGGGACATAGGAACAAGTACCTGCCAACCTCCACCAGACAGCTTCAACAAGCGAAAGGATTTTTGGGTCAAGTTGGCTGAGACAAATTTTTCTAGAAGATGGAACAAGGAAGACAGAGGCAAATTGTCTATGTAACATTAGCCAAATAACATTTTCATTGCATCTTTACCACCCTTTCAAGAAGGTTAGAAGAAGGCAGTTTGAGCTATAATTTGAACACTTACTAAGATGGCATGACCATGAGAATTTCAAAGCCTTTCTTGATTTGGTAATATTGCCATGTCATTTTAACACTTTTTGAAAGCAGGCAGACACATTCCACATGAATACCTTTAACTTACATGTTAAAGTTAATAGATAGCATTTAATCTTATGTCCCATCAGATAGAGAAACTTACCCTAAGACAATAAGTTCACCATATTTTACAGGGGCTTTGGATGGGTGATTTTCTTGATCAGGAGAAAACATGAGCTTGGCTGTCTTTCTCAAATCTCTGTTCACTGATCAGGAGGCTTGGGACACCTTTTGCATTATTTCCTAGAGAGAAAAAGTTTCCATTAATAATGTGACCAATGAATTTGAGTTTAGTTCAACTAAAACTGCTGCTTTTGATGAGCAGTCCTCTTGAGCACAATATTATGTACAGTGTACAAAGTGACACCTTCTCCAAGGGTTACATATTAAAAATATAATTTAAATAAATTAATTCTAGGAAGAGTTAGCTATTCTTTTTCCTATTCCTTTTAAATAAAACTAAAAGCCTTGGTCATGATCTACAACACATGAGACACTGACCAGGAAAGAGAAGGCAGACTGGCTGGGGACCTTGGGGTGAAGGAACAACTCCATGCATTTGTTTTCCTGAGGTGTTTTGTTTGGTCTCTTATATCCCAGCTTGTAGCTGTAGAAGCCAGCAATCTGCAAAGGCCAAGTGACACAAAAAGAGAAGACAAAAAAGAGCCTTCTGACAATAACTGCTCCACTCCAGCCAAACACCACAGAAAACCCCGTGGCCCCACCATACCAGCAAAGCCAAGTGGGAAAGCCTAGACTTCATCCTGAGGCTGAACCACCCCACACCCTGACTGGTGGTTTCGGGAAAGGCCAAACAGAGTCCCTCATCCTAGGCCAGCCCACTGACTGGGAATGAACCTCACTCCACCATGGTGGGGCTATAGAAACCACACCAGGGGTCAGAACTCCATCCTATCCAGCCAGCAGAAGGTGTCTGTCCACCTGGCGGTATCAAGGTGCCTAGCCCCTACTGCAGAAGTTTCTGAGAAGGCCAACAAAATCAGACACTTGAGACAATATCCAGAGTCTCACAATATAATATGAAAATGTCCAGTGTTGAATATAAAATTACTTATATCAAGAATCTAAATGATCCCAAATAGAATGAAATACAATTCATAGATGTCTAAAGCAGAGATGACAAAGATGTTAGAATTGTCTGATGCAGAAAATTATCTGAGATTTTCCAGCTGCCATGAAAAAAATGCTTCCACGAACCAAATGGAAGCTTTAGAACTAAAATTTTATTAACTGAAACAGAAAAGTTCAGTGATGGGTTCTACAGTAAAATGAAAGGAACACAAAAAAGAATAAAGTGGAAGTAAACAACAAAACTCCAAGAACAAACTTATTGCCATCTAGTTGCTTCTGACTCACAGTGGCCCTCTAGGACAGGAGAACTGCTCTTCTGGGTGTCTGTAGAGCAGCTCGTGGGGTCAATCTGCTGACTTAGCAGCTGTGGTCTGATGGTAACTACGCTATCTGGGCTCCTAAATTGGAAGACAAACGAATACAAATAAGTCAGTTTGAACAACAAGGAGAAAATTGATTTTGGCGAGGGAGGAGGATGGGTGTGTGTGTGAAGAACAGAACCATAGGGACTTGTGACACTGTAACAAAAGATCTAATATTTGTGTCATTGTAATCAGAAAGTGGAAGAGGAAAAAAAAAAGCCTGAAAAAATACTTGAAGAATTAATGCTTGCTGGATAACACATAAAACTATCAATCCACGGAGCTGAACAAACCCCAAACAGAATCAATCCAAAGGAACCCATTGCAAGACACACATCCTAAGCTAACTTTCTGAAAACTAAAGACAGAGAAAATGTCTTGAGAACAGCCAGAGATAAACAACCCTCCTTAAAAAGGAAATATCCTTCAAGAATTAGGGGAAACACCAAGATATTCTCATAGATGGAAAATGAAAAGTATTGGTGACTAGTTGCTCTACCCTAAAAGAATGACTAAAGCAAGTTCCCCAAACCAAAAAGAAATGATAAAAGAATGTTGCAACGTTAGGAAAGAAGAATGAATATGGTAAGAAAAAATATGGGTAACATTTCCCTCTGTAAATTTTCTAAACAATGTTCGTTCAGAGCAAACATTGTTAACACTAATGTGTTTGTGCCAAGTGGCAGTCAATGAAATATTTAAGGCAACTGTAAGCAGGAAATGTAAACAGGAAATAAAGTTTTGGGTAGCTTTTAAAAAATGATGTGTACATATACAGCATTCAAACAACTTATCATGTAATAGCTGAGTAAACACTAAGAATAACTCTATAATGGAATATGTACAAAAACGATACAAATAAGTAAAAATTGAATCCTACAAAACATTCAAATAACTCACAGGAAAACAAAACAAAACAACAGAAGGAACAACAAAGCAAACTTAAATCCTAAATGTACCAGTAACAATATCTAATGTAAATGATCTAAATACACCAATTAAAAAAAATAAAAAAAATACACCAATTAGATTACCCAGAAAACAAACCTCAACATAAAAGTATCAAAACCAAAGAATGTGTTCTCTAAGCCCAATGGAATAAAACTAAAAGTCATTAAGAAGGTTAACAGGAACATCTCCTAGTATTTAGAAATTAAGCAACATACTTGTAAATAATCTAAGAAATTTTAACGAAAATAAAAACACACTAAACTGATTAAAAATGAGAATACAACATATCAAAACTTGTGGGACACAGTTAATGCTGGGCTACGCTAGGAAAAGGAAAAATTCTAATTCAAATTAATCAACACTTCCACCTCAAAAAGAGCAAAGTAAACCAAAGAAAGGAGAAAGGAAATAAAGAGCAGCTATCAGTAAAATTAAACACAAATAGAAAAACAAAAAAAACCAATGAGACAAAGCTAGTTCTATCAACAAAATTGACAAGCCTTCATAGCAAGACTGGCAAAAAAGCAAAATGTAGAAAACCTTTAGGAGAGAAAATACATAAATTACCAGTATTAAGATTTCAAGAGGGTATTACTACAGACCCTACATACTAAAGACTGTAAGGAACATATACTCACACACGTGCTTACGAAAAATCGATCAATTCTTTGTAAAACACAAACTATCACAATTCACCCAATAATTTCAATTGGCCTATCACTAAAGAAAACGGAATTTATAATTCAAAAACTCCCAGAAAACAACTTTCAGGCCCAGATGAGTTCTCTGAAAAGTTCTACCAAGTGTTTAAAAAAGAAATAACATCAATTTTGCACAATCTTTTAAAATAACAACAAACCCACACACAAAAACCCTTTAAGAATTATTGTGTAAAATGAATAGTACCCTGCAGAGCTGCTGCAAGGTTCAAACCACTGACCCTTTTTTCCCCCCCATTTAGTAGCTAAGCACTTCAGAGCTTCTGCCTATTAAGGAAATGTAAATTAAAACCCCAAAAGAGATCATTATCAGACCAAGAAAAATTAAAAATGATGACAACAGCAAGTCCTGATGAGGATGATGAGAAAGTGGAAAATTTACAAATTTGAGCAACTGAATTACTTATGCATTGTTAGTGGAAATATAAAACGGTGCATACAGCTAGTCTGAAAAATAGTCCAGGAATTTCTTAATAGACTAAACATGTAACTACCAAACAATACAGCTACTACCCTCCTGGGCACTTATCCTAGAGCAGTGAAGACTGATGTGCACACAAAAACACATACATGAGTGTTTATAGCAGTTTTTGTCTAAATAGCCCCAAACCAGAAACAACCCAGATGTCCTTCACCAGGTGAATGGTTAGTCTGGCATATCCACAAGACTCAACAATGTAATGGTCTATAACCTCATAATAAAAAGGAACAATTAGTGAGTTAAGTAACAAGCTAGATGAAATCTTTAGATTTTTATGTGGAATAAAATCTCAAAAGCTAACGTATTGTACTGTTCCATTTATGGAAACACTCTTGAAAGGACAAAATTTGATAGAAATGGAGGACAAATTACTGCCTGCCAGGGTATGCTGTAGGAGGGGGGTAAGAGTGGAAAGTGGGTGTGGTTATAAAAGGGACCCTTCTGGTGGTGATGCCTACATCAATGTCCTGATTATATTTTATTATAGTTTTGCAAGATGTTATCACTGGGGGGAAACTGGGTAAAGGATCTCTGTGCATTTCTTATAAGTACATGTAAATTTACAATGACCTCAATATACACAAATTTAATTTGAAGAATTATAAATTTGACCCAAGGATGGCAAACAAATGACTATCAGACTACCTAGCAATGCAGATAAACTGGAGTTATTACTATAATAAATAATTCCCAAATATCAATCTATTTCATCAACAATTTAATGGGACCACGTATTCCCTATATCTATTTCTCTTCCTGATTTTCTTGTTAGACCTGTTTGTTACAAAGGTTTCACAATAAAATTCTTACTGGCTAACCTATAAAAACCTTTTGCTTTCCGACCTTGTCCAATAGGTTTCATAGGAAGCTCATGAATGAGTACGCCTACTTGGCTTTTTCTATAATATGGTGAAATATACCCTATCACCTTCACTTCAGAGTCCCAGTGATGCAGTAGTTAAAAGCACTTGACTGCTCCCCCAATGTCAGTGATGCGAACCTGAGGAGAGGTTGCTTTTCAGGAAAAAGATGTAGCAATCTGTTTCTGTGAGATTTACAGCCTTTGAAACCCTATGGAGGCAGTTCTACTGAGTCAGAATCATCTCAATGCTAGCGGGCAATGTGTTGACCATCACTTCTGGAGAAAAAGCAACACAGGAAATCTGTTGCCCAGTGAACAAGTAAAAGGAGAAAGCTCAGCCATTTCTACCCCCTTTATATCTCTTGATACACATACATTTACATCAGCAATCAGACAAATTCAATTATTGTTGGCAAATAAAAAAATCTAAGTTCATTTAAAATAACACGAGTTATTTTAAGAAAAACACATTTCCTCTATCCAAACACACTATAAAACCTCTCGTCTTCCTAGATTAATTCCCTTTTGTTGACCAGATTTTAATTCATCGTATTGGTTAAAAGGTTATGGAAACCACAGAGATGTTGTTGGTGGCTGCCAGGCGACGCTGAGTCAGTGCCCACTCATAGTGACCCGTATACACAACAGAATGAAACACTGCCTCGTCCTGCACCATCCTCACCACCGTTTGAGTCCATGTTGCAGCCACTGTGCCAATCCATTTCATCGAGGGTTTTTCTCTTCTTTTTGGCTGACAGCCCGTCTGACAATGTATC